GACAGGGTGAGGGTGGAGGAGGCTGGGACCTGGGTGGCAGCAGAGGGATCTGGTGATTAAGTGAGTGGAAACCGTCAGCTGTGATCATACCACTGGGCTAGAATAGGCCCTAGTGGAGAAGCTTGTCTGCGTTAAACAGGAGTGTCTAGGATGACAGTTAAGTAGAGATACACAGTTTGACAGCTAGGCAGGCCACCGGGCCAGAGGGAACAGGGAGGTAGTAAGTGGATTCCGAATGATGCCTTTCCTTACAGACACCCCACCCCCATTTTTCAGGCCCACAAACTGCAGTCTGAGAAGTTGAGAAACTCCCTACTCACCAGGTGTGGCCACAGCATAGCCCACACTGAGGTCACCTGGGCTCATAGTGTTGACTCCTCCATGCAGCCCTCTTCTCCTGCTCCTCCAAAAAAACTATAGCAGAAGTGAAGTAGAGGATAGTACATCCCAAGTGACATGGTGTGACCTGTGAGCACCAGCACACACGCAGTGCACATACACACACACACAGGCAAACACTCATACATCCATAGAAAGTGGGTATGTGGGCATCAGGCACACACATGGTGTGTATACACACACAGGCAAACGCACATGCGTCCATAGAGAGGGAATTGGCAGGGATCACCTGGCGTGGTGAGGTAACATTCTCAACACAGACACTGGACCACCATGATGTTACAGAACACACAAGGTCTCTTTTCTTCTCATCCACAGGATACAAAGCCACATTGGCAAAGTAATGCCCATTTGCCAATTGTCCTTTGAGGAGGAAAACTCCCTTCCTTCGAATTTTTGGAAAGAGCACCTATACGTGGGTCGTGAGACTGCGATTCAGGGACTCTGGGGTCCAAGCAAGAGAAGAGCCTGAATCTGACTCCCAAAGGAGAATCCTGTCTCCTTGGACATTTCAGAGGTTAAAGGTGAACATCAACTCTGGATATCACTGTGAAGGCTGTGGGATGAGGCGGAAACCAGTCCTTCAACGTGTGTATGTGCATCCTGGACAGACACCCTTTAAAGTCGGGGTCTCATTCTGAGAAGCATGCCATTTGGTGACTTTGTGACACCAAGTCTGGATGGTCTAGGTCCACCACTTGACATTCTTCATTGTCACAGAGATGTGTGGAGCTGCTGCCAGCTTCGCCTGGCAGAGCAATGTCTTGTAGGAGAGTATATTCTAAAATAATGGTTAAAATAAAAAAGAAGGGGCTGGAGAGATGGCTCAACAGTTCAGAACGACGGCTGCTCTTGCAGAGGACCTGGGTTTCATCCCTAGCACCCATAGGGAGGCTCACAACTGTCTATAACACCAGTTCCGGGGGATCCAACACCCTCTTCCAGGGGTACCAGCCACGCATGCTGTGCATACATACACATAGGCAAATGCCCATAGACATAGAACATAAATAAATAAACCTTAACAGTGCAGCTTGACAACCACTGGAAAGAACCTGCGCCGACTCAGAACGCCAGGAGCCTGTGTAGGTAGTCATTTCAAGACCCACTCACTAAGTAAGGCTGAGAGCCTGCTGGCCATGGGAAAACACGCCTTGTGTAAGTCCCTCTTTGCATACGCCTTGTGTAAGTCCCTCTTTGCACACTACTACTCTTTCGGGTCAACAGGTATGTGAACAAGACAGTATTTTCCTGACGCTGGAATTCCAGGATGAGCAGTTCCGGAAGTCTACCCGTCTTGTGTTTGACTCACCTTTCATGCTGAATCTGGGGGCAGGTTAACATCTGGATTAAGCTGCTTAAAAATGGGCTTGGGGTGGCTGTTTATTCATTTCCTCCCGACTCTGAGTTGCTTCCTGTTGCATCCAGGGTCTCATTCCTGGTGAGGTGTGCGTTTGTCCTTTACTGTGATTTCCCATTCTTAAAATGCCTTGGAGGGTTCCTGTTCAAGTTTCATTTTCTTGCTTCACCCCCATCTCTCTCGTTTGTTTTCCGTTTCCCTGGTCATATTCCTATTTCTGAGTGCTTTAAATGCTAATTTTTTTAATGCAGTTGGTTTATGTTAAGCTTTTAACACTTGGGGTTGGGTGTTCTTCTATAGAAATGCTTGTAATTTTCATTTTTCCCTAATGGATTTAAACTTCACTCTTATTTACTATAAATTGTTAAAAATTATTTGTGCTCACAAAGAAAACAAATCTTGTCTAAAATAAGCCAGATGTGGAGGCGCACACCTGTATTTCCCGAACTCTGGCTGTGACCTGGAGGCAGCCTGGACCACACATCGAGCATCTCCAAAGCAGCAGCAGAAGCACAGTGGAGGACAGCCAATGCCGAGTGCAACAGTGGGGGCTGCGGGCCCAGCTGCTGAAGAAGCTGAGGCAGGAGGACAGCTTGAACGCAGGAGTTCATGGCCAGCCTGGGCAACACCCCTACTTCAGAGGAAAAGGGGCAGATCATGATAGACATGTATGGAAATATCATAATGGAACCCAATATTTTCACACTTATTTAAAATAACAAGGAAAAGAAAGGGCTGGAGAGATGGCTCAGCAGTTAAGAGCACTGACTGCTTTTCCCGAGGACCCAAGTTTGAGTCCCAGTACCCACGTGGTAACTCATAACAGTCTGTAGCTTCAATCCCAGGACATCCAGGCCCTCTGGCCTCCAGAAACACGGCATGAGATGATACACAGCAGTATATGAAGGCAAAACACACGTGCACATAAGTGATGTGGGTTGTCTTTCCATACACTGTGAATATGTGTTGCTCCCATTGGTTAACAAATAAAGCTGCTTTGGCCTATGCTAAGGCAGGATAGAGCCAGGCTAGAAATCCAAGCAGAGACAAGGGCAGGGTCGGGGAGACGCCAGCCAGCTGCCAGAGGGACAAGATGTATTAGAACACAGGTAAAGCCACAAGACACGTGGCAAAACACAGATTAATAGAAATGGGTTAATTTAAGTTGTAAGAGTTAGTTAGTAGTAAGCCTGAGCAATAGGCCAAACAGTGTGTAATTAATATTAAGCCTCTGAGTGATTATTTTAAAAGCAGCTATGGGACCAGGGTGGGACAGGAAAGCCTCTATTTATGCATAAGGATATATTTTAATAAACAAAAATAATTAAGTCACAAACATTACCATATTTTCACATTTTGAAATAGCAGACAGGGCTCTTTAAAAATGGTTTGCACCAACTAGGTGGTGGTGGTGTGCTCCTTTAATCCCAGCACTTGAGAGGTAGAAGCAGGCGGATCTTCTGTGAGTTCGAGGCCAGCCTGTTCTATAGAGTGAGCTCCAGGACAGCCAGGGCAGTTACACAGAGAAACCCTGTCTTGAAAAACAAAATAACAACAACAAAAATTGTTTCCCCGAAATGAGCACATGACAGGGGCCCAGTGCATCTTGCTGTGATGTGACAGTCACGCCATCAGTAGGTGGCAGAGAAATTCCAGCTCTGTTGTCACATACTCAGTAGTTGTGGGTGGAAATACCACTGTACAACACATTCACAAACATGGACGTTTTCTTTATCATTCTTAAGAGCGCCTGGGACAAGATTCAGTCAATGGGATAAAGCAGAATAGCTCAGCAGCCTCCCTTCCCCTCAGCAGTGGACTGCTTACCCTCCAATGGTCTTTAGTCAAAGTTCTTAGGGCTCAGAATGTGAGGCAAGAGGATAATCCCAACCTTAGGGCCCTTTTGTAGTTTAGAGATTTGCTGTGTGTGTCACTGTGAACGCAGAATGCGATTTGACCAGAGCGTAGCAATTTAACCTGAGAGAGTGAGTTGTAACCAGAATAAAAGCGATCGTTTTTATAGAGTAAATAACATGCCTAAGAATTGCTTACCCCCGCCCCCGCCCCGTGCAGGGCACAGAGCTAAGGACTTTGCAGGCACAGGCTTTCTTAATGACTTTCAGCCAGAGAACCTGAAGTGCCATCCTATTATTTTCCCCATCTTCCGATCAAGCCAAGCCTTCCGTCTGCTCGAACATGTCATCAGCCTTTTATCACACACACAAAATATTTTTGTCCCTTCCTAAAGTCTCCGTGGGAAAAGTGGCTCACTAGGTTTCTTAGCCGTGCCTGACACAGTGTGTCAATTACCGGGTGTGAGGTGTGGAAATGAAGACGGTGGTGTCAGGAAAAGGCCTGGCTCTCCTCTCTAAAATCAGAATAATTGGGGGGAAAACAAAGTCAGAAGCTTAACTGAGGCTCCAGCACCAACTCCAGTTTGCAGCCACACTACTTTTGTGCAAATGTGACCAAAATATCTGACACAAACAACCTAAGAGGGGAGACCGTGGAGCGAGGGTGGGGCGGGCAAAGGAAGCTGTGCTTTGGCTCATTAGAGGCTTCCGTCTGTGGTCGCTAACCATCATGCATTGGGATAGACTCTTGTGGTGGTGGGAGTGTGACAGAAACTCCTGCTTTGTTTTCATTTTAATACAGGATCTCCCTATGTAGTCCTGGCTCTCCTGGAACTCGCTATGTAGATGAGGCTAGACTCAGTCTTAAAGAGATGCCCCTGCCTCTGGTGCCTGAGTGCTGAGAACAAAAGCTTTACAGAAACTCCTTGTAAGAGGAACTTCTGTACCTCATGACAAACAGGAAGTACATCATGAGAGCCAGATAGAGACAGAGATAGAGGACAAGATACACCTAAGTCCCATTTCCTTCAACTGGCCCAACATTTCCAGAACCACCTGAGATGGTGGTCTGACCTGGGGACCAAGCTCCAAATACATGAGCCTTTTGAGGGACCACCTCATATTCAAACTGTCACAGTAGATTTCAAGGAGTTTCACTAGGTACTGGGCAGCAGACACCAGAGTGAATGAAGCTGATTAGTTGAAGCTGCCCTACATCGCTCTCTATTGAGAGGCAGTGTGGTGTTGGGGACAGGCAGAAGAAATGCTGGAACATCATACACGTCCCCTCTTGTCACAACGAGGTTGTGAGCATGGTCATAACCCTGCCTAGAATCCCCCAGTGAGGGGCTGGGGTGTGGCTCAGTGGTAGAGGCCCTGCCTAGAATCCCCCAGTGAGGGGATTGGGTGTGGCTCAGTGGTAGAGCCCCTGCCTAGAATCCCCCAGTGAGGGGCTGGGGTGTGGCTCAGTGGTAGAGCCCC